AACACTTGTCTTTGTTGGATATCTCTCTAGGTCTCAGTTTTATCATCCATAAAATTAAAAATATAAGCAAAATGATTTATCAGGTAACTTCCAGTAATACCATTCTACAAATTTTAGTTTTATAAATTTTATTTATAACTTTTTAAAAATTTAACAAATATTCATGGAAATTATAATATCCAAAATACTCAGAATATAAAAACAAGTAACAGTTCTCATAGTCAGGGTCTTCCAGTTCAGAGTGGAAGCTGAGAAGTATATTGTAGTATTGTACCTTCTAATGTATATCAGGTACATTGCTGGGTGGAGTGCTGACAAGAGAATGTTTTTAGAGGAGAGGAGTTCTTTTGAAAGATGAATAGGAGTCTGTGATTGAAGAAAGCAAGTACTGATATTTAAGCACAACTTTCGGGGGAACCAGCCCCCAATAATTCAACATAGGTTCTTTTCTATTTTCCCTAAGTGTTGGCCAGTCTGAGAAATAAAGGGAAAGAGTACAAAAGAGAGAAATTTTAAAGCTGGGTGTCCGGGGGAGACATCACATGTCAGCAGGTTCCATGATGACCCCTGAGCCATAAAACCAGCAAGTTTTTATTAGCAATTTTCAAAGGGGAGGGAGTGTAGGAATAGGGTGTGGGTAACAGAGGTCACATGCTTCAAGGGCAACAAAATATCACAAGGCAAATGGGCAAGGCAAGGTCACAAGGCCAGGGTAAAACTAGAATTACTAATGAGGTTCCTGGTCCCGCTGTGCATGCATTGTCATTGATAAACATCTTAACATGAAACAGGGTTCAAGAGCAGAGAACTGGTCTGACTAGAATTCGTCAGGCCAGAATTTTCCAATCCTAACAAGCCTGGGGGCGCTGCAGGAGGCCAGGGTGTGTTTCATCCCTTATCTGCAACTGCCTAAGGCAGACACCCCAAGAGCGGCCATTTTAGAGGCGCCCCCTGGAAATGCATTCTTTTCCCAGGGCTGTTAATTATTAATATTCCTTACTGGGGAAAGAATTCAGTGATATTTCTCTTACCAATTTTCAGTAGTAAGAGAAATATGGCTCTGTCCTAGCCGGCTCCCAGGCAGCCAGACTTTAAGGTTATCTCCCTTGTTCCCTGAAAATCACTGTTATCCTGTTCTTAAGGTGCCCGGATTTCACATTGTTCAAACACACATGCTTTATGAACAATTTGTGCAGTTTACGCAATCATCACAGGGTCCAGAGGTGACATACACCCTCAGCTTATGAAGATGATGGTATTAAGAAATTAAAGACAGGCATAGAAAATTATAATAGTATTGATTGGGGAAGTGATAAATGTCCATGAAATCTTCACAATTTATGTTCTTCTGTCATGGCTTCAGCAGGTCCCTCCGTTCGGGATCCCTGACTTCCCACAACACACAACCAAGAACTGAGAGTGTATTTTCAAAGGCATGAAGGTGCAAGAGAATATTTTGGACTCAGTGAATATCTGGTAGCTTTATATTCACAGGAACCTCAACTACCAGAAGAGAATTTGAAGAAATGAGACTAGAAAGATAGATTTGGCAAAGTTATAAAGAAAAATTAATATAATCCTAAGGAATTTTTACTGTATCTTATAGCCATGGTGAATGTAATGACTAGCATAACACACTGTATGTTATTGAAATTTATTCTGACCTTAGAGTAGAATATAAGAGATACATTAAGTCATTGTGGAAACAGAAAGACCAACTAAAAAGCCAATGATATCATTCAGTCAAAACAAAAACAAAAACAACAACCTAAAATGTAAGGGCCATGTAATATGGCCATGTAATACGGCCATGGCTGAGAGAGTGTGATTAAGTTGCCATAATTTGGTAATAAATTTGGAGGAGGCAGATGCTGATGAAAAAAAGCCAAGGATCTGTCAAGGTATCTGGTTAACTTTATAATGGCGTTTTTCACAAATTGCAAATACTGGAAAAAATGGAAGCTGAAAAGCAAAGTTGAGAAGTATAATTTGGTGAATGATGAGCTGGAAGTGATTTAGGGCATCCACACAGAAAGGTCCCATGTACAGCTGGATATATATGGCATTCTGACTGTACTCTAACTCAAGTGTAGAGGGAACAAGTTCCTCTGATATGTCCAGGAGCTGTAGTGGGCAGAAGCTACATGACTGAATTGCACAAAGCTCATCTTCTCACCGTCTACGGGTTTCTATTTCTGATTTTCATAAAAGAGGCTGCTCTTTTGAAAAAGGAACTGGAAACTCAACCTCTTCTTTGTGTTCCAAATTATTATACCAGGACTGTTCAAGAGCAGGGCTGGGCAATGAGATACTTTAAAAACATTTTATCATGTGTATAGGAAATGTGGTAACTAGTGGGGTAGCTTGTATAACATAGATAGGGATGAACAGAATGCACTGGTTCTAGCCCTATAAAATCATTGATAAAAATAACAAATCTACATATGGGATACAAATCTGTACATGGAATAAGTGAATCTGTGAATGGGATGAAATTGCAAGTACCTAGTTAATGGTCATATACAAATGTGAATTTCTTGGTATTGATGTTGTAGTGCAACACATAATGTGTCACATTGGGGAAAAGTAGGTGAAGATACATGGGACTCCTGTACTATTTTTGTAACTTTCTTTGAATTTATATTTATTTCAAAGTAAAGCATTAAAATAATTTTGCTTTCTGTACCCCTTCTCTATCCTTCACTGATGACCATTTTGATTGTCTGGCTCAGAAGCGGAGGTTATGACTTGGTCACTGAGTTTTTCCCAGAGGAGAAGACAGGTTGATGCATATCTTTGCAGAATGTCCAGGTTTCATCAAGTCACAACTGCAAGACTCTAGCTGCAGCAATGTTGGAGATCAAGTCTTTGTGATGAGACAAGTGGCTGCTTCAGAGCCCTCTAGCAGTGAAACTTTAAATGCATTTCACTTAGCAAGTTATAGTAGTTAAAGCAGGATTAAAATTATAACTGTGGTTTTCTTGGGACTTTCTGCTTTACTTTTCTTGCTTCTCTTGAAAAGAAAATATCTTGGGCCTCCAAAACCACTAAACTAAAGGGGAAATTCAACTGGGAATGTCATACGGCAAACCTGTCTCCCATTCTGTTCCAAGTCATCCCTCTGTTCACTGAGATAAATGCAAATCTGATTACCTCCTTTGGAAAGGCTAATCAGAAACTCAAAAGAATGCAACAGTTTGCCTCTCACCTATCTGTTACCAGGAATCCCCCTCCCCGCTTCCAGCTTCCAGTCTTCCTGTTTTTGCTTCGAGATGTCCCGCCTTTCCAGACTGAACCAATATACTTCTTACATATATTGATTGATGTCTCATGTCTCTTTAAAATGTGTAAACCAAACTGTGCTCTGACCACCTTGGGCACATATTGTCAGGAATTCCTGAGGCTGTATCATGGGCATGCATCCTCAACCTTGACAAAATAAACTTTCTAAATTAACTGAGACCTGTCTCAGATTTTCTGGGTCCACAATCAGCAATATATTTTATTCCTTAATTGTGTTTCAATATGAAATCATAATGTTTGTTGTATAAGTTACAGGCATGTAAATATCCAATTTATGGATAGACAATAGTAGCCCAGGAACAACCATTCCAGCAGGCTAAGGGTTGTAGAGTTCTCTGAGTTCTTGATACAATATCAGAGAGCAAGGGCAAGTGAGACAAATTCTAAGACATGAATAAATATTCCTGGGCAATCTTAGAGACGCAAGAAGGCTGATGGGAGGGAATTAGGTAAATAGGGACTTCCTGTTAACTTGGCAGCTATGGCTTCAGAGTTGTGATTACTTCCAGTTTAAATGGAGAAGAAACTCTGTTTATACTCAACTAAAAAAAATAGGTTATACATGTTACAGATATACAGGTTTTGAGGTGGTAATCATTTATGCCATTTCTAGTCATATTTGAAGAAGAGAGTTACTAGAGAAGTAATCTACCTGAGGGTAAGACTGCTTTTATTTTCTTATAAAATCATAGTATACCTGTTGTTTAAACCTGGAAAAGTTACTTAATCTTTCTATTCCTTAGCTTTCCCATCTGTAATGGAGATTACAGTTGCTAATGGTTATATAGAACATCAATTGAGTTAGACTATGATAACACCTGGATCATGTAATTAGAAAGCATTATCTTTGTGATCAATGTTTTCTGGTAGTTTCCAGGAAGATGCCTTGCATATATTAAAAGGACATTTGGAATTGCATTTATGTAACTAGTCTAAAATCATATGCAAATGCTTATTTCAGTATGTAGTACTCCTACTCTGCAAAAATTCTGTGGTTATTTTTGCTGACATTAGAGCCTTTAATGTTTCAAAAATTACATGAATAATCACAGATTTCAAAAGTGTCACTCACAAACAGCAATTTAATGACAACAGTGTACTGCTGCAATTCCTTAAATATTTATTAGAGAGTGATTCATTCACATTTTGTGAAGGAAATATGATTTTCCAAGAAGATACTGATCTTGTAAGAATCTATGAAATTTAGACCAACTCACCGTGTTTATAATTGATTCACCTACTTGTAAGGTCTATGGCTTATAAAACGAATGATAATGTTTCATATCTGCTTTCATTTATGACTTAAACTAATCAGGAAACAAATAATAATAACACATGAAAACCATAACAGTAAACAAAGTTTGAATTACAAAAAATAAAGAAGGCAGCATGCATGGTCGACTTACCTGAAAGAAACAAGAAACAGTTTCTATAAAAGCAGTCCCCAATATTTTGGTGCCAGGGACCTATTTTATGGAAGACAATTTTTCCAGGGACAGTGATGGGAGTGGATGGGGTGGGAGATGGTTTTGGGATGAAACTGTTCCACCTCAGATCATCAGGCATTAGATTCTCATAAGGAGCCCACAATCTAGATCCCTCACTGTGCTGTTTACAACAGGGTTCTCGCTTCTATGAGAATGTAATGCCCAACTGATCTGACAGGAGGCAGGGCACAGGCAGTAATGCTTGCTCACCTGCAGCTCACCTTCTGTATGGCCTGGTTCCCAACAGTCTGGGGACTGGTACCAGTCCACGGCCCAGGGGTTGGGAAGACCTGTAAAGTACAAATAATCAGCAAGATCAACATTTATAAAATTTAATCACAAAACTCCTTTAGAACTTTCTTGAAAAATATTTGTATTTGTTTGAAATCAGGTAATATTCTTGCAACACTGTTCTTATTTTTACAGTTATATTAGCCATTGTTGGTCCTATGCATTTTCATATAAATTTTGAAATCATGTTTATAATTTCTTAATGAAAAATCTTCTGCAGTTTTGATTTGAAGGGCTTTGAAACTATAGATAAATTTGAAGTGAATTGACTTCCTAATGAGATTATTTTTTCACTCCATTTATTTAGATCTACTTTAAATTTCCCAGCAATCTGTTTTTAGTTTTAAAGATACAGGACTTGCAATTAATTGGATTTATCCTGATTATTTTATATGTGATGCTGTTGTAAAGTTTAACTTCCAGTAGTCTGTTAAATACAATTGATAAACCCTGCATCCATTAGCAGTCATCCTCCCTCCACACACTCCCTCAGCCTTGGCAACCACTAATTTAATTTCTGTCTCTGTGGACCCAAGTCCGGAGACATGCAACATGTGATCTTTTGTGTCTCACTTCTTTTACTTAGTATAATTTTCTTAGTTCTTTTGTGTTGCTATAAGAAAATAATTGAGATTGAGTAATTTATAAACAATATCCACGTATTTCTTGCAGCTCTAGAAGCTGGGAATTCCAAGATGAAGGCTCTGGCAGGTTTGGTAGCAGGTGAAAGCCTAATCATTACTTCCCAGTTGGTAACTTGCTGCATCCTCCAAAAGGGTTGAATGCTATTTCCTCACGTGGCAGAAGGAACAGAAAAACAGAAGGAGCCTCGTTAGCTTTCTGGACCAGCCCTTTCTAAGGCATTAATCTTAGCTATGATGGTAGACTCCTTGTGGCCTAATCACTTCCTAACAGCTCCAACTCTTAATACTGTTGCTTGGGGATTAAATTTAAAAATGATTTTTGAACTTTGAGGCAGACAGACATTCAAACCATAAAAATAATGTTGTCAAGGTTTATCCATGTGGTAGCGTGTTTCAATACTTCATTCCTTGCATGGTTAAATAATATTCCATTGCTTGGATATTCTAAATTTTGCCTATTCATTTATCCATTGATGTGCATTTTGGTTGTTTCCATATTTTTGGCTATTGTTGAAAATGATGCCATGAAAATTCATCTACATATTTTTGTGTGAAATGTTTTTAATTCTATAAGAGGAATTGCTGGGTCTTATAACTCAAAGTTTAACTTTTTTTGAGGAACTGCTGAAGTATATTTAAAAGTGGTTTCATCATTTTACATTACAATCAGTAAAAATGACAATAATATGCCATTTCACACCTATTAGGATGGCTGTACATTTTAAAAGTAAATAGTAACATGTTATTGTGATTGTGGAGAAAATGGAACCCCAAATATATACATATATATGTGTATATATTTGTATATATACACATATACACGTATATACATATATTACAAATATATACATATATACATATTACATATATTTACATATATACATATATACACACACATATATGTATATATTTGGGGGTTCCATTTTCTCCACAACCACAATAACATGTTATTATTTACTTTTAAAATTTACAGCTATCATAATAGGTGTGAAATGGTATATTATTGTCATTTTTACTGGTATTTCCCTAATGACTAATGACTTTGTGCATCATTTCATGTGCTTATTGGCCCTTTATACAGTTATTCCTTCTTTGGAGAAATGTTTATTCAAATTCTTTGCTTGTTTATTAATTAGATTATTTGTATTTTTAGTGTTAATTTATGATTTCTTTATATACTACATATAATAGACTAATCAGACATATGATTTGCAAATATTTTCTTGAATTCTCTGAAGGAAACAACTTTTCACTTTCATTATAGTATCCTTTGAGGCACAAATAGTTTTAATTTTAATAAGGTTTGGACCTTATTTTTTCTTACCTATTTTTTCTTTGTTTCTGTGTTTTAGGTGTTATATTTAATAAACCATTGCCTAATCCAAGGTCTCAAAGATTTTCTTCCAAAAGTTTTATACTTTTAACTCACATTTATGTCTTTATGCTATTTTTAGTTAATTCTTGTATATAGTGTGAAGGGTTACTACTTCATTTTGCGTATGGATATCTAGAGATTTTAGTATTGTTTGTTGAAAGCAATATTCTTTTCCCATTTTGTCACCATTCTAAAAATCAACTGACAGTAACTAAATTTGTCTATTTTTGGACTTTCCATGTCATTCTATTAATCTATATGCCTATAATTAAGTCAGTACCACACTCTCTTGATTAGTGGAGCTTTTTAGTAAATTTCAAAATTAGAAACTATGAGTCCTTCAAACTTGTCATTTTTCAACATTGTTTTGGCTATTTTGAGTCTCGTCCATTTCCATATGAAAGTTATTATTAGTTTCTCCATTTCTGCAAAACAGTCACCTGGGATATTGATAGTGATTAGGTTGAATGTGTAGAAAAATTTGAGGAGTATTGCCATATATTAACAATATTGAGCCTTTAACCTGAGATTGTTTTTCATTTATTAAGGTCTTCTTTAATTTTTTTAATTACTATTTTGTAGTTTTCAGTGAGTGCACATCTTGAACTTCTCCTTTTAAATTTATTCCTAAATATTTTATTTTTCTTGATACTATTGTAAATGGAATTGGTTGTTTAGTTTTATTTTTAGATTGTTCACTGTTCGTGTTTGGATGTATAGTTGATTTCTGTATATTGAACTTGTATCCTGCAAACTTGCTGCATTAGTTTATTAGCACTAATGGTTATATGTCTAATAGTGTGTGTTGTGTGTTAGAATTTTATGTAGACATAATTACGTCATCTGAAAACAGAGAGCATTTTACTTCTCCTTTTAGTATCTGAATAGCTCTTATTTTTATTATAGCCTAATTGTTTAGGCTAGAACATTCATTACAAAATTTCATCAAAGTAGACAGAGAGGACAGCCTTGTCTTGCTCCCATTCTAAGGGGGAAAACTGTTATTCTTTTATGATTAAATATAATGTTAGCTGAAGGTTTTTGTAAATGCTCTTTATCTGACTGAAGGAGTTGCCTTCTTTCTCTAGTGTTTCATCATGAAAATATCTTAGATTTTGCCAAAGGTTTTCCTTTATCTATTGAGATAATTGCATGAATTGTCCTTTATTCCACTGACATGGTGTATTACATTGATTTTCATTAGGTTTAATGTGCATAAATCTTTTGTCCTACAACATTGCCAGACAGACTGGTTAGTTCTAGTAGCTTTCAAATTTTTTTATCATATTTTCTATGGAGAAATTATGTCATCATTAGAAAGGGGGATTAATACTTCATCCTATTTTATCAAGAATCTTTTTATTTTCTTTACTTGCTGTATTAAATTAGCTAGTACTTCCATAACATGTTAAATAATTGTATTGTCAGTAAGCATTCTTGTCCTATGCCTGCTTCTTGGGAGAAGGAGTTAACCTTTCAACACTAAGTAAAAATGCTCTTTATTAAGTTGAATTATTTATTTTTACTCATAGTTTGCATAGTTGCTTTATTAAAAACTAGAAATGCATGTTAGATCATGTCAAAAGCTATGTTCTATATCTATGGAAATAATTATATGACTTTTATATTTTAGTTTGTTAACATGATAAATTATATTGATTAATTTTCAATAGATGTTGTTGTGGATGCAGTGAAAAGGGAACACTTTTATAGTCAGTGGGAATGTAAACTAGTAAAACCACTATGGAAAACATGTGCAGATTCCTTAAAGAACTGAAAGTCCATCTGTCATTTGATCTAGCAATCCCAGTACTAGGTATCTACCCATAGGAAAAGAAATCATTATATGAGAAAGATACTTGCATATTCATGTTTATAGAAGTACAGTTTGCAATTTCAAATACATAGAACCAGTCTAAATGCCCATCCATCAATGAGTGGATAAAGAAAATGTGATATATACACACACACCATGGAATACCACTCGGCCATAAAAAAGAAATGAAATTATGGCATTCACAGCAACCTGGATGGAATTCGAGGCTATTATTCTAAGTGAATTAACTCAAGAATGGAAAACCAAACATTGTATGTTTTCATTCCTATGTGGGAGCTAAGCTATGAGGACACAAAGGCATAAAAAAAAATGCAATAGACTTTGGGTACTCAAGGGAAAGGGCGGAAGTTGGCAAGGGATAAAAGACTACACATTGGGTACAGTGTACACTGCTCGGGTGATGAGTGCACCCAAATCCCAGAAATCACCACTAAAAAACTTATTCATGTAACCAAACACCACTTGTTGCTCAAAAATCTATTGAAATAAAAATAAATACTTTTTTTAAAAAGGAAGCACCAAACCAAAATCTGTGGAATTATGTACGTTTGCAGTGTTTCAGACCCCTGACTTTATTTATGCTCCAAAGTAGGTGAAAATCAAGCTTGATTATATTTAAAATATTCTGTTTGTAACACCTTTGTGACACTTCATTAGTGGGCTTTAAAACTGTCACATATTTTCAAATTCCAGTGTTTTTATTTTCATAGATGTTGCTGTTTTGTTTCTACTGTATATATTTAAGGTATGCAGTATGTTTTGTTTTCTTTATACACATATATGTAGTTATATAAATTCACCATTTTAAATTTCAAAAAAAGTTTACATTATTGAGATCAGCTCAGCTTAGTAATATTGTACTGCCATTTTTATATATTGATAAATTTGATTTGCTAAATCTTTTGAGAAATTTTGTATTTATACATACTTACAGTATTTTTTTAACTGTAATTTCTGGTTTTGGTATCAAGATGTTAACTCCATAGGATGAATATAGAAGTAGTCTTTCCTTCTCAATTTTCTGGAAGAGTTTACATTGGAAAAATTGGTATTATTTTTTCCTTAAATATTTGTTAGAATTTATTAGTGAAGCCATATGGTCCTGGAGGTTTCTTTTTAGAAATACTATAAATTTAAATTTAA